AGACATGCATAGCATTGGACCATTAAAGCACAATACTATGCATGCTTACAATAGGGAATATATAGCTTATTTGGGAACAGGTGTGCCTGGACTCAGGCTTAAGCACCCATTAATTTTGATGGAACAGATGGATGTGTAAACTTCTCAGACTGGTTTGAACCAATAAAGTCTTACATACCTAACAGACATTGATACTGATGTCCCCCAATGATGATGATGATGTTTATATATGTATCAGAACGAGCTGTCGTAACATTCTGAGATCATAAACAGGCTATTTGCACTTGGAGGGCACAAGGTAAGTGCTTTTGAAATGCTTCATGTTAAACAAAGAAACAACCAAAACCTCACTGCAAAGAGAAAGCGCGTCCCTCACAGAGAGCTCTTCTAGCCATGTCTCTTTCCCAACACAGAGGCATAACACCACCTCAACCACCCGAGATCATGAAAAACAGAGGTTTGGGAGATACTCCCACAATTCTCCCACAGTGTTCCAAGCAGGGTACCCAGAGTTTTTCTGGGGTGCTTGGAAGCCCCAACTGTTCCCTTAGCTGTGCAATTTACCTTAAGCAGAGATAACCCATGAAGAAGCAGCAGAACCTGAGGGAAAACTCGGGCAGGGGGAGAAATGTGAGACGCTTGTGATTTAAAGGGACAGACCACCATCTCATATGGGGTTTCTCCAAGTTTGGAAGCATCATGCTAGCAGGTAGGGAAGGAAGCTTTTCTTAGCTGTCCCCAAGTGCTGCTGGGAAAGTAACATCCACTGACCCCTTGGCTAGAGTAGTAAACCTTCCTGACACCCTCACCAAGGGGCTCTCTCACGCAACTTTACCATGGATGATTTCGCTGGCTGGGTTTAGACAACACAATATGCCACAGTGGGCTTATTAAACTCTACCCTGATACATGGCTTGTCAGGGGAAAAGTGCTGGCTGCAGACACCATGCTAACTACTATGGCTTAATGTGTTAGGCAAACCCAGTCACTATCTAACAAGGATTAAGGTACAAAACTTTTTGTTTGCATTAGACCCTAGTCTGGTAAATATGCACTTTTCATAAAACTATGATGCTGTTGGAGTGCTGATCTAGCCTTTCAAACAAGAAAAAGGGGTGCCAACACCAACAAGACTACAAATTGCAGCTGGACCAAGATCTCATAATTTGAGGAACCTTTCTTTAACAGATTAAGTATATTTTTACAGCATTGGAATACTCAAATTTCCTGATAGTCACATAAAGACATGAAATCAATATCAAGTCTGCTTCTCACCATGGAACTATAGAACAGCTATCCTGCAAGATCTGAAGCTGCACTTACTCAAAAAAGCAGAAAGAATAATATAATCTGGAAAAATGTCCAGAAGTGTTTCCAGAAACACTGGATTCAAATATTGCCCAAAGTCACAACCACATTGATCCCAGGATACTGCAAAATTACGCTGCCTAGCAATGAACAAAGTATCCATAACTCAGGAGATTTAACTTGTTCTGGGAAACTGAACTTCAGAGTACTGCCTCTGGTTTAAGTTATACAGGTTATCATAGAAAAATGCAACAAGGAGGGAATTGTTCACACATCAAACAACTATTCTTGATCACTCAGGTGACCTTCCACGTGGCAAGGAAAAAAGGACTCCTTACCTCAGTTTTAAGCCACTGCTCTGGTGCCTTTGCCAGTTTAAGATCAATATTTTTGTTGCACTAACTTATTTATGAATATAGGATTTTGAGATTTTTTATTACTTATTTGGGAGCACAGATTGGACTGCTCTGGTGAAAGAAACATATCTGTGTGAATACATTAGCTAATTCCTGACAACATTTAGAAGATGAAAAAGATTCATCCTACTCTTGCTAATATGCTGAGCGGCAAGTTATCACTAGGATTGCAGGATGAAGTAATAAGCCCAAGACAGTTGCCCTTGAGAGACAAAAACAAAGATATAATATCTTCACTGGACAGATGGAGGGACACGATCTGAGCTCCTATTACATACTGCCATCTGGAAGGCATTTAGCACAAAATGACCCAATTTTTACTTATGTACACACAGGCACATTGTCTACCAGAATCACGGGCCGTCTTTTATTGACAAGCAACCATGCTCAACAGCAAAATAAGCTGGCTAATAGGGGGACAGAATGAGTCTTTAGAACAAATTTTAAGATAACAAAATAATCAAAAGTTGCTAAATAATCTGTAGTAGCAGTTTTATTATTTAAATGCAGAAATATAAAGCACAGTTTTTAACCAGCAGCACAGAACTGTTAGATGATTGCATAACTACAAAAATAAACAAAGCAATGTGGACACATAAACAAGCACAGTGGATGTCAAGAACATGTAACTAGAAATAAGAAAGATCATCATTCCAGCAAAATACAACTTTCTGATGTAGTTCAACATTATATGGTTCAGGCCAGATTACAACAGCCCACCCTAGGTTAATTTACCCACTAACTCTGAAAAATGCCTTCTTTGAGCAGGGCCCATCCTTCCATGTATTGCCTTGTCTTGCCAACTCAGGTCAGAGGAGTTGTCTCAGGGTTAGACAACCCCCAAATAACTCATAGCTTGTTTAAGGATTAAACAAAAGGAGGCAAAGGCAACCCAGACAAATGTGAGTACCCACCTCAATACCCTTTCTTGTCCTTTTCCTGACCTCTCAAATCAGTAGCTTCTTCTGATTTAACTCATGTAAAGTCATTTCACACATGATTTTACTAGATGAATTTCACTTAAGGAAACATGCAAGGAATTGTAATTCTTCTCCTTTCACTGCCTGTTCACACAATTTGCCTTGTATGACGAAGAGTCAAGTGTTGGTTTATACTTCTGAATGAATTCTTTTTATTTTTCAAGTTTGGAGTGAGGCAGATGGTTCTCAGGTCATCAACCCGTTCCATTCTTTATCACTCTAGCAGAAACATATTTAGTGGCCAATAAGGGCATTACGTAACGGTTTAGATACACACCATCTGGTAAGGGTGCTTTTAAAATACCCATCTGGGAATGAAGTATTGCTGAGACTTGAAATTGATGCATTAATGGTAAGCAGGGAACTGAACAATCCCAAATTGCCTCTGTGCTTCCAAGACTCACCTGGGATTGTTTTTTTTAAAACTACTGTAGTTTATTGCTGATTGGTGGCATAAGTAATACTTTTGTCCAGAGTTGCCTCCACAAACAGTTCACCCATATGTATGCAGATAAGATATCATTTTCATTTGCAATACTCTAAAGAGGAATGAATGGATCAGCATTCTTTGATAATGATGCAAAAAGGTGACACAATCCACAACTGAGACATGGAGATCATCTTCGGTAGATGGAAACAGTGATGCCCTTATTGCCTACCTGCTAATTTCTTTTCTCACCTAAAAGCTGGAGACTTGCACAGGTGCAAAAAGAAGCCAGCTTCTGAGCACTGATTCTCTCTACATGCCCAAGCTCTTGCAAAGGCAATGGGGAAGCTACCTATTTTTCCAATATGATTAAAAATCACAGCTCCATCCTACATGGAAACATGACAAAATACTATGGGCCTTGAGACTCCTGAGCAGATGGCATGCATCTTTAAGAAGGCAGGACACTTGTGCTACCAAACTGCAGGAACAATATGCTTGGCAAACTCCTGGATAGCTCAGTTGGGCCACAAAGCTGAAGACCTCTTGCTTTCTGCAGCATTTGAAGTACTTTCTAGCATCAGCTTGTTAAATTGTGCCATCAAACACAGTAGCAATACCATTCACCTCAACAGCACTGACTGTGAACAGCAGCTCTCAGAGTTGTGAACTGGCTTTTAGAATGCTATTTTAAAATACAGCTTCTAAGTGTTTCTAAGATAATAACATCTCAGAAGGTGTTTCCCCAATTTTGCCTAATATTTCCATTTTGGGATGAGAAATAAAATGAAACCTTTAGCCCCAGAATTTCTCAAGTAGTACATAATAAAGTTCTGAGCCACTTCCATGAGGCTCCCAGTCATGCAAACAAGTACTAAGATTAGTACTAATCTATAGCCAGGCATAAACATAGCAAAGAGTGTAGCCTTGTGCCCAGCAGAAAAAGCATGCCACACAAGATAGGTGCAGAAGAAAAAATGTGTATGTGTTTGGCCCAGTGAAGGTACATCTTTAATTCCCAACTCCTTATTTACATCAGACCAAGAAAGAGCATAGTGTTTTATGAGATTTTCTGAAGAGCAAGTAAGTCTCTTTTGCCACAAGCTAACCAAATATTTTGTAGTAAGGTTCTTTGAAAAGTATGTTTGCCACTAGTGAAACTTCTCTGTTCTTATTTCTTTCACAGTAAGCATTTCTTCTAATACTGCCTCTAGAGGATATTCAAAAATCTGTGGAACAGTTTGGCTCCTTTTCAGTCTCTTATCTCTGCTGTGAATCAATGTGGGGCCAAAATAAAATAAAATAAAATAAAATAAAAAGGGGAAAAAACACTAGACAACCGAGCCATGGCCAGTTGAAAGAAACAGAAATGTGGTCTCAGTCTGGCTCCTTAAAAAGTCAACTGTAAGAAATATCTATCAAAAAGCAAAGGGTAATCAGTTCTTATTACTAAATTGCACAATGCAACAAATACCGTGGTTTTGAATCTACTTCTTTTATTTTTAAAGGTCTGCTGAGAATCATCAAAAGTCCTTTAAAAAAAACACAGAGCCAGTTGGCCTCTGTTCTCCCATGAGCACACAAAGAGCACTTCTTCTTGTCTACTGCCAAGTACTATGGTGCCCTCAGATCCCAAGACTGCATCCTACATTCATGGCTACTTTTACTCTAGATCCCAGTAGCAAGAGGCACTTGAAACAGGACACTCAGTACGTCCCCTGCTTCCAGAAAGATCACTGTTGGGTATTTCCAGTCAGTCAGTAGTACAGAGTGAAAAGGCCACTGCTGGCCTGTAACTCTGAATGACTAGGATGGGTCGAGCAGGGATGAGTGATGGCCCTTATAATCACAATTAATTTCTTACTGTACCTTGTTGCAGTCAGTGCAGCAGAACCCAGAGCAGCATCATGCCCAGCTGAGAAAAAGGTGGTCAGTGGCTCTTCAGAAAGTTTTGCATCGGGCACTGATTGTATGAGATCACCAGAAACAGGGGAAGAGCTTAAAACGAGATCAAAAGACAATGTTAAGACATCCTTCTGAAACTTTTGTTTTTTTTTTAAAGCAGGGGAAGTGGTATCTATCACAAACAGGCAACTGTACTGCTAGACAATTAGTGTTGGTAGCTGTAGAGGTATCCAGAGCACAGCTTGATCTGTTTTTACTGGATGAGTTTCAGCTGGTATAGGTTCAGGATGGGGAAAAGGTGCTCTGATAGGTTTCTGCAACCACCTCTGCACTGAATCCTTGCCCCTCCTAGCTTATAAACGCCAGCAAGGAAGGAACCACCAGCTGAGCCAGGGAAGTGACCTCCTTGTGAGATGGAGGGGTCCCTTGCTGCCTTAAAGAGGTTGTGGTGAGGCCACTTCTGAAAAAGTCCTCCCTTGACCCAAAGACCTGAATAACATTAGCCAAGCAGCAAACGTCTCTTTCTTGGGCAAGATTCTAGGGAGGGCGGTTGCGAATCAACTCCAGGCACACTTAAATGAGACTGAATATCTGGACCAATTTCAACTGGGGTTCAGGCCTGCTTTTGGCAAAGAAACAGCCTTGGTCACCTTGGAGGTGGTGCTTGGGGAATACTGTTCAGCCCCATAGATTTTCCAGCATGGAGTTCCTCGGGGCATGTTCTGTTCCCCATGCTATTCAACATCTACATGAAACCACTGAGTGAAGTCATCCAGAATTTTGGAGTGTGTTACTATCAGTATGCTGAAAACACACAGCTCTAGTCCTCCTTTTCATCATCAGCAGGTAAGGCTGTGGATGTGCTAACAGCACCTGGCTAGAAAAATGGATGGACGAGGACCAACAAACTGAAACTCAATCCAGACAAAATTGAGGGGCTGTCAGTGGATGGATATTTTGACTGGATTGGGGGTGTTCAACCTGTTCTAGATGGGACTGCACTCCCCCTGAAGGAGCAGGTACACAGCTTGGGAGTGCTCTTTGATCCTTCTTTGTCATCTTAGGTTTGGGTGCTATCATTTGCTTGGAGCACCTTCTACCAGCTTGGTTGGTGGTCCAGCCATGGTCCTATCTGGACAAGGGTAGCTTGGCTTCAGTAATCTAGTACTCTCTTAACTCAGTTATTGCATTGCACTCAACATGGGGCTGCCCTTGAAGACTGTTCTTAAGCTGCAGCTGGTACAGAATGCAGGAGCCAGATCAATAACTGGGACTCACAGTGCAACACATAAGACCAAACTCATAAGACCAGTTCTGGCCCATCTGTGCTGGCTGCCTGTATGCTTCTGGTCCCAATTCAAGGTGCTGGTTTTAACCTATAAAGCTTTACATGACTTACAACCACAATATCTATTGGAGCATTTCTTCCATCTGTGATCTCCCCAGAGACTACACTCAACCTCTAGGGCCTTCCACTGAATGCCAACTCCAAGGGAGGTGCAGAAGGTGGCAAAGGGGAGGGGGTTCTCAGTGTTGCCCCCCATCTAGAATCTGCTCACTGTGGCCAGGCTGGTGCCAAATTTGTCATATTTTTGGCACTAGGTTAAGACAATCCTTCTTTGAGGCTTTAATGACTTACTTGGCCACTCAGGGGCTTCAGGGGTATCACCAGATGTTTTGCAGAGTCTCTTTTCATTATTCCCCTTTGTCTGTTTATTTACTTTCTGTTTTTAGCTGTTTTAAACATTTGAATTTATTTTATTGTACTTTTATCATCTGTTTTTATGGACCATGTAAACCCCGCAGAGGACTTAGCTGTGGGGTGGTATAGACATGAAATAAATGACTTCAAAATAGCTAATACAGGATACTTATTCAAGTTTACTTCACTAGTCACATGTTTCTTTCCACAGGTTCCTATATCACTTGACTCTCACAGTCTATCCATAGACTGGTTCTTGAGTCTGACACTAAGCTGTTTTGGTACCAAAGTTTACCTCTGTCAAGGTATACCAACAGATATACCAACAAGCATAATAATAACGATTCTGTGCTAACATTGGGGTACTTGCACTGAGCTTTCCTAAATTAAGCAGCAATCTGAAATTTTGCTTTGACTAAAAAAAAAATTATCACCACAGTGCACAATCTTTAGTAGAGTTTGATGGAAGAGAAGGCAGCAGGTCCAGATGGACCAAGCAAGATGGAACAGTAGCACATTTGAAGGATCAGGTGTAAGGAACCTTAGGAATAACTGAAAGCCTTAAAATATCAGCTTGATATTTTTGTACTGCTAGTTACCAAGAGAATGTCATACAAGATTGAAATAGTGCACTAACTGAATAGGCAGGACAGCTAACACATGACTGGCAAGAGAGTTGATCTGTATTTACGAGTCCAGGATTCAACATCCATCTCTACCACCGTCAGTCTCACAGTCATGGTTAAAAGAAAAGCAAGAGAGAAAGCTACATACAATATGATAGCCCACACTCAAAGTTCAGCATGGGTTGAGTGTGGGCTGTTGTTGAACCATGGGCTACCAATGAACACACTGCTATAGTGAATCAACCTAGCTGCACTAACAAACCATTGTTTCTTATCTACATGCAATCCACACAGAGAACCCCAGGTTTGCTGCTGGTGGTGAACTGTTTCTGACTACCACCTGTACAGTTAGAGTAAAATTAATCTGCCTCAGAATATTTTGAGAGTAACCACAATAATGCTTTAAAGAACACTGAAAACTGAGGGCTCAACCCTACACATGTATTGGCAGAAAAAAGTCCTACAACCCCCAACATTCCCCAGCCAGGAATGCTGGAAGTTGTAGGGGCTTTTTAAGTCTAAACATGTGTAGAATTGTCTCCTAAACTGTTTATAAATGAGAAGAAGTGTATCAGATTTGCATTCTGTCCTTCCACCAGGGAGCTCATGGGTACCCCCATGCTGTTTATCTTCACAAACTCTATGAGGTTACCTGGCTGGCCAGAAAAATCAATTACTTTGCATAGGATGTGAATCTGCAGATCCTACTCAAGTTTATTGGAAATACTAAGAAGTCAATTAAAATCTCAAAAGCACAGAGGCAAGAATGCCCATGCATTTAAAGTTATGGTACTACTGAAATTGCAGGTACTACTGAAATTGCATGAGTCGAATGTAAACTAAACATATTTGAAAAATTCATCAAATTGGTAGTTTGAAACATTTGGATCAGCTCCATTGGAAGAAAATAATAATTACAAAATGTTTAACAAACAGCTCAATAGATTCTCATGCACATGCAGAATGTACTGTGCAAGCAGAATTTTCAGAACAAAGCAAACTCTTGATGAGATTTATTTACCAGATAAATTCTTGAGGAACACTTGGAGGGAAGAACTGCTTCCAAAACGTGCTTAAGATTGTGTGTCTACTGTGACTAAAACAGCCAGGAAAAAATGCTCCACACTTTAAACTACCAGCTGCTTTACAACAGCTGCAGCTAGAACACAGCAAATGCATCCAAAAAGATCAATGCACCCTGCCTGCAAATCTATTCACTGGTGGGCTAATGCTTTGATCAACAACCATACACTCTTTTCTTATGTGCTAAGTTTCAGGTACTGCAATTTCTGTTCAGCTTGCACAAACTGCATTATGTGTATAATCTGATGATACATTTTTAGCATCGGAGGCAGTGAAAAAGCAACAACATTAAACATAGACAAGAGATTCAACATTATGGCCAGGCAGTGTGTTTCTGAATGAGTCATAAGTCAGCATTTAGAACTCGAAATGATGACCACCACTGATCATTGTATAAAATAGTAGTGGCTTATGAGCAAAAGGTTGCCCATTCAGCCAAGCCTTGCTTTAGTTTGTGTTCCCAAGTGACCACAGGACAGAGGTCCGATGCATTACTCCACAGCAGTCCATTCTGCTAGTAACACATCCTAGCAATACCCATTATTGATGCAACAGTCAAAAAAGATGAAAGGCTTAACTGTGCATCACTTCAGAAGAATGAAAAAGGGCCTGAACCAGAGAACAAGTCAAAAGAAATTGATTGAGATAGATAACTGATCAATCTCATTTAACCTCTCCACATATTTAGGGATCTGCTAAACATTGTCAGTATATCTAACCAACTAGGGGTATAGTACATCATTAGTGTGCCATGCTATCAGCTTTTTGTAAGCAGAAATGGTGGTGCCAAAGGCTGGCATAGTTGGATACCCACTGAGGACCACAGGCCTGGAAGGGGCCCAGATTGCTGGCCCTATTTCTCTACCTGTTTATTTGTCCTTTCCAAGTACGTAAAATGACAAAAGCAAGCAAATGGAGCAAATGTCTCTGTTTGCCCTACCATCCTCTTCTGGTGACGATCATTGTGGAGAAGGTGGTGACACTGACAAGAAAATGTGGACCTTGTCAGTACTCTGCCCACAAAACCGGTTCCCAGAAAACCTGAGTTGGCATTGAGCAGACCTCACTAATTTTTCCAATGTACCTATGTAGACCCATTTCTTAGTGTTTTTAATATAAAACAAAAAACAGGTTTCCTTGGATTTGAAGGAGCTGTTGAGTACAGCCACATATAAATTTCCAAAATATCATTAAAAAGATTTGAAAGCTTTCTTATCACATTTATTCATTCATCCTCATTCTGTAAAAATAAAAAGAGGGCATTCCAATCAACCAAACACTGCTAAAAACAGATGGTCACTATCCATAACTGAACCATCCTGCGATTTGCACTAATTTCATATCGATTATATATGTAGGCAAATAATCTATATGAGGCAGAAAGAATAACAGTAGACTTCCATGGAGAGCCTGGCTCCTCCAAAAATTTCAGTCAAAATTTGCTTTCTGGCCCTGGGGGTGGGGGCCTTCCCAAAACCAGCTGGCCTCTTGAAATCCTAGGAGAACAGCATGCATTATTATTATAAATACATTACCTTTATATCCCATCTTTTTTCCTCTTGCAAGGAACCTAAGGCAGTTTACACAGTTCTCTTCTCCTTTTTATCCTCACACTTGTGAGACAGGTTTGCCTTAGAGTGAGTGACTGGCCCAAAGTCACCCGGTGAGCTTCATGGCCCAGT